ACCGTCGGCATGCCTCATTATGGTTATCACAATGGACTTGAGGTCGGCAAAATGTTTTTTTTTCATCGACAGAAAAATAATCCACATGATCGTAATGCCATAGCTGTGATGAAGGATGGAAAGAAAGTAGCAAGTATACGACGTGATGGCTCAACAGTGCTAACTCCCGTTCACAGTCAGCTGGCATCGGTGTCGCTGGGTGTAGATGATAAAGGGAAGTTGTGCAACCAAATTTGCCGAGTTCACAGTTTTTCGCCAATAAAAAAATAACTAAGGCAAAAACTCACAGGTTTTCAGCATTTTTGTAATAAAGAAATTATTCTCTATCAATAATCCCAAAACAGGAACATTTCTACTAATTCTTGTGTTTTTTCGACGTTTTTTGAAAAACCTGCAATTAGGCTGCGAAAGTAGAACATTCCGGAGGGGGTGAAACGGAAGAGCCAAACTTAACGCGTAAAAATAGAACGCGCATTTTGACCTCTACGTGGCCAAGCAATGGCTGGACACGGATACGTTTGCGGTCGTTGCCAATGCCCCCGCGTCCATCGCCTGGCGATGCTCTTTCGTTATGGATTCAGTCAGCGAAGTGCTACGTTTTGAAACCAGAGCTAAGTGCTTCAAACCACTCACCAAAGTATGGATTATTGCAATATTGGATTCATCGCGAATGAAGAGAAAGCGGAACGTCTGCGCCAACATGCTGCGTGGTTCATCTTACGTCGTTAAGTTCCAATGAGTTTTTACGTAAAAACACAAACAAAACGACCCTTTTCAGGGCAGGGTAATACAGTATATAGATACTCAAGGACTATGCAGAGATTGATTGTTTTTGGATAAATATTTGTGCCTAATAATCATCTAATTTGCATAATTAGTTAATTTCCGCTTCTCCATGGATATCTCAAGTACTAATCATCACATTTCGATCAAACTTGGTACATAGATCCTTTAAGACTATGGAGCGACCTAATTAATTTTAGGGTAAATAATTATGCATACTAATTACCTAATTTGAATAATTAATTATAATATTTTGGTATATACATGTACATGTAGATGGTCTGTTACATTGTTTCACACTCAAATCTGTTCATATTAATTTATTGATTTGCATAATTAGTTTTCAGCTTTTCCATCAATATCTCAAATACAAGTAATTTTGAATTATTTTTAATGTGTCTCCAATACTCTCAGCACATGGGAGTTCTTTCTAAGCTTTTTTTGATTGTAATTTTTGGTCTAAAACGTTATTTTCAACTTCTTCTTGAAAACTACTAATCCGATTGCTTTGTAACTTTATTTGTAGGTACCTTGGGTGAATCTCTGTCAGATTTGGTAATTTCATGACAATATCTTAAAATCTCTAATTAGTCCCCGTTCGGACGAAGTCCGAAAACGGGGACTTATAATTCGGTCTCCGTCCGTGCGTCTGTGTGTCCGTCCAGAGTCATATCTCAGAATCCTGTGGACCGATTCCGTTCATTCTTTGCATGTGCCTAGTACCTTATGTGGTACATATGCACATGCAGTGGTTTAGCGATTCGATTCAAAATGGCCGACTGGCAGCCATCTTGTTTTTTGAAAATGTTGTATTTTGGACATGCTTTGTCAGTTTTCATTCAAATTTAGTACATAGATCATACATGTTAGGATACATGTCCCCGACCATCCGTGAGTTCCTGAGTCTGTCCGTCCGTCAGTTTGTCCAGAGTCATATTTCAGAATCCTGTGGACCGATTCCGTTCATTCTTTGCATGTGCCTAGTACCTTATGTGGTACATATGCACATGCAGTGGTTTAGCGATTCGATTCAAAATGGCCGAAATGTATCCTGAATACATGTCCATGACGATTGATTTCACAATTAGATCAAAGATGGCCGACTGGCAGCCAGACTGGCAGACTTTTTGGCCTTACTACTATATTTCCACAATTTATGTACCATTTTCATTCGTTTTTGGCACATACATCATACATATCTGTGTGTTTCATAATCAGATCAAAGATGAACGAACAACGGCTGTTTTTATTTTTGGTCATACATGTATAACTACTACACGGAACACGTGTTTTGATGCAAATAAACCATCTGTTGTAAACGCTACTTGGAACTCAAGTTTCAAGGACTCGCTCGCGACAACCCCTTCGCTTCAATATAATGAGCACAAAGAGAACTTTCAAAAATTTAACCGGGACTGTTTCTTTTTCAATGACTTGTGTTTCAATTAATGCTGTTCAACAGCAATATTTCTCAATGTAGACAAGTACTCATTTGACGATCAGATACAAGATGTCAATCATTTTAATGTTAAAAAGTCATCATAATCAAGCATCAGCTTCTGGATCTATATCTCTGACATGTTTATGCTTGAACTATATTACGATAAACAAAATTATATATCTTAAGTTTGATAACTAACAGGGACTGTGCCATGCATGGCTTGTTTCTTCGGAGCTATCACAGCCGAGAGGCTGCTTGTTTGTTTACAAAACACCTGTGAAAATCTGCCTAGTTAGTCCCCGTTCGGACGGAGTCCGAAAACGGGGACTTATGTTTTGCCCTGTGTGCGTCCGTCCGTGCGTCCGTGCGTGCGTGCGTCCGTGATCACCTGTATCTCGAACATGCATGGACCGATTATGTTCAAACTTCACTCATACATCACACATTATATGGGACATATGCACATGCATTTTTTTCATGATCCGATTAACGATAGCCGAATAGCGGCCATTTTAAAGCCGAAAATGCATCAAAATCGCACATTTTCACCATTCCGAACCCGGATCTCAGCTATGCATGGACGGATTTTGTTCAAATTCGGTACTTACATTAAACATAATAGGACCTTGATGCACGTCATTTTTTTTTCCGGATCAAGTTCGAAATGGCCGACTGGCGGCCATTTTCTTAAAGAATTCAGTTCTGGATCCGTATCCAAGACATGTCTGGATTGATCAAGTTCAAACTTCACACACACATGGTGCATCATGTCACAAATAGATATGTGCATTTGTTTCATGATCCGCTTAGCAATAGCTGAATGATGGCCATTTTAAGGCCGAAAATGCATTAAAATCACGTATTTTCACAATTCCAGAACCGGATCTCAGTCATGCATGCATGGATTTTGTTCAGATTTAGTACAATGTGTTGTACATATGCAGGTGCATTTCGGTCATGATCTGCTTTGAATGTATATGTCACTCAAATATGAACGGAACGGGGACGTGTCATTGACAATGACTTGTTTAATAAATAAATTTTACAAAAAAAACAGAGCTTGAATGTTTTGTTTACTAATTTCATCGTTTTTAATCAATAACAATAATTTGTATTCACCATTATATTATTAATCATGCACGAATGTAGGGACAGTGACATCTATCACAATACTGTCACAATTTATTTTCAACTATTATTGTTGTGTTTTTCAGACTGGTGGACACACAAGTAAAGACATGCAGTCCATCATGGCAGACATCGCTGCTAACATGACAGTGGATGAAGTCATGGATAAACTGCTTTCAAACAGCAGAGGATTACATATAATGGAGGTACACCGGAGAAGAAAACTTCATGGTTACAATGAATTTGAAATAAATGAAGATGAACCATTGTGGAAAAAGTACATTGGACAAGTGAGTTGTAATTTTAATTATTTGCTGCATGTGTCTGTGCTAACACTAGAGTCTTGCAGCGGATTAACTATTTACAACTTGAACAGGGTTCAATTTACAGTCATGTGGCACTTGGGTTCCATTACTCTATCTGTCAGTTCTTGTGTTTGCAGCATTTTCTTATAAATTCTGCAGCAGATATCAATCGAACTTCACATTTTGATGAAAAATACTGTGAAATACTTTATTTTAGCTGGAATTAATTTTCGCTGAAAAGACTTTTTGGGCGTTTTGTATGGAATTTATTTTCACTGATTTTTGATGAGTTGAATGTGAAATATAGGAAAGAAAGTATATTTGCTGGATTTTTATCGACAGAATTCATTCATAGATCTCAGATTTCATGTACAGACTGTCAAAAGCCACACCTCTGCTCCCCTTTAATTATAATAATTCATTTGGTTCATTCTACATTCAATGGTAATCAACAGACATGATTAGTTTAATGTTGATAAACATAATTACATGCATATTGATTATCTATTATTAGGCAATTTATGATATCTAAAAAAAATCAGATTTAAATCGAATTCATCACAGAGGTGCTCTGGAATTAATTAGACTAAAAACCATGGATGAAAAATCAAATGTATTATAAATTTTGATAATGTGAATCACATTGTTTTTGACTCCTTCCGTCCGTCCATCCGTCCGTCTGTCTGTCTGTCTGTTCCACTGATATCTGAAGAACCATAAATTGGTTTTTGATGAAACTTGGTACATAGATGCTCTGGGTCAATGTGCAGATTTGATCAGGTTTTGGTAAAAATCCTTGCATATTAATTACCTAATTTGCATGATAATTAGCTAATTTTTAGGTGTTCCATGACTGTTCCACTGATATCTAAAGAACCACTCATTGTATTTTTATGAAACTTGGTACATATATGCTCTGAACTGATGCGCAGAATTGATTAGTTTTTGGTAAAAATCTGTGCATTTAATTACCGAATTTGCATAATGATTATTCAATTTTCGGCTTTTCCACTGATATCTCAAGTACTAATCATCACATTTCAATGAAACCTCGTACATGGATGTCATGATTTTCAGCTTTTGATATTTCAAGTAGTAATCATTACATTTCAATGAAACTTGGTACATACTCAAGGACTATGCAGAGATTGATTGTTTTGGGGTAAATATTTGTGCATATTAATCACCTAATTTGCATAATTAGTTAATTTTCAGCTTTTCCACTGATATCTCAAGTACTAATCATCACATTTCAATGAAACCTCGTACATGGATGTCATAGGATACTGCACAGACCTTATTAGTTTTACACTCAAATCTGTTCATATTAATTTCCTGATTTGCATAATTAGTTTCTAAGCTTTCTTTGATTATGTTGTGCATCTCAAATAGCAGGCAAATATTAGTTGACAAGCTTCTCGTTTGAAAAGCAAATCTTAAATTTTGAATTATTTTAATCTGTCTCCAATGCTCTCTCAGCACACGGGAGTTCTTTCTAAGATTTCTTTGATTTTATATTCTTAACAATTTCTGTCACTTTGTTTTAGGTTATTCTGAAATGGAACTTTTTGCTCTTTTTTCATTTGACCCCATTTTTTTGACAAGCATAATCAATTTTGTTTAAGTCTACAAATTTCAAAAAAAGACAAGAATATCTTATTAGCTATTTTGTTTGTTTTGAATTGATGTCTGCCAAATTGATACAATTTATCAAAACAACAACCTGAATACACAACCAAGAGTGATTTATCGTCATGGCCTCAGGTCAGTGTCATGGCAACCTGTTGATTACCACATGGTACTGTGTGGTGTGGTGGACTAGTATTACATGACTTTACATGTACAAAATATAATACCAGTTAAGTTGCATGAAGTCACTCCACGGTGAAATTGTAATTACGCCTAAAATGTATATGATAAAACCATTATTGACTGGATACGGCTTTTGCTGCCCTTGATCGTATGACTTATGCGCTCTTGCAAGTAAGCTTCTACCGCACGACTTTGGGTCACAAAAGCCGTATCCAGTCCATAAAGATTATTATTCAAATTTAATAACATGGTGAGTATTGATGCAAACATGAATTCTGATGTATCTGCCTTCAGAGATGTTTTGTTGGTTACATTTTGTAGATGATGCCTGAATACTGTATAATTCCCTGCATGATTGTGATCAGAAAATGTCTTCATAAATATGTGACCTGCTGTCTTAAACATCCAATGAAATGTCCACAGCAACAACAGTCACTTTGACTGAGATGAGCTCATTAATATGCATAGATGTCAACCAAAAACTGAACTAGCTTAAAATTCACACATTATTATGCAGATGAGCTCATTAATATGCATGGATGTCAACCAAAAACTAATCAAATCTGCGCATTGCCCCAGACAAGCTATATACCAGGTTTCATTGAAATCCGAACATTGGTTCTTGAGATATCGATGGAACAGACACACACACACAGACAGACAGACACACAGACAGACACACTAACTGCAAAGACTTCGCACACGGGAGTCAAAAATGATATTAATGCAACGTGTCAATGGTAAAAAAAAAACATGCGGGATGGTATTTAATCCATCGTAGATGTTTTCGAAACGAAAATTAGCGAATAGGTTTTGTTTCGAGCCACTTTAAATGTCCTGTGTGTATTTTTGGTTGGTACTCATCACTTGCCCCAGATAGTGTCAATTTATACGCAGTAACAAATGAGACGCGATGGGGATTACTTTGAATTTTATGTACCGAGAAGTACGTCTGCCGTAAATTATTAATATTTGTTATGGTACTGAGCTGTACGATGGTTGTAATTTTACCATGTAGATTTTCGGGATTTACAAACCAATCTAAAAGATTATGATGCCTTCCTTATTAATATACGTAACTGAAAATAAATAAATATAATATTTATTGACACACATATTGATATTAAGATAGTGGTTTGAATTTTAGATATTTAGATTGTGATTGTTTGTCAGAAATTTATATAGTTGTTCTTGCTACTTCACGTTTTCCGTGTTAACTAAATTTCTAAAATATTTTTAAATGCCCTATAAGTTAATTTTGGGCA